GAGAGAGAGAGAGAAAGATGAGGAAAACGACGACGAGCGCTGTTTTCTAACGGGAGAAGATGAAACCGATTTTCTAGTCGTGACCCGCAATGACGACCTTTCGCAGCAGGAACAGAAAACAAAAAAAATAGTACGAGAAACTCCTGCTGCTGCAATTTAAAGGCTTCATCCTTGTCCTGTAGTGGGACGGCATGGAAAGTTGAGTGGGGCACAGGTATTTATAAGGTCTTGTGAGAGCTGAAAAATGTGAGAAATTGACCCGAGCTTTCGAGGAGAAATGTGGGGGGTTTTCTCTCTTTTATATATATATATATTTTTTTTAGTGTCTTGTGGAGGGACTTACTCATGCAAGGAACTGCGTGAAAGTCAAGTGCCGCTCCTTGAATCTCGTTTGCTGGGAACATCAAGAGGGTTTTTGATTGCAAGGGGTTTTTTTTTTATTCTGTCCCAGAATCTTGGAGCAGATTTCAGTTATGAGGAGGTATATTTTGGTAACTGGTAAAGTTAAACTTTTTTCATCATCCAATGCTTTTTCATACTTGATGCGCATGTTCAAAAAAATCTCAGGCACAGAAAAAAATTAAAATTTTGTATAATGCAGTGGTAATATTTGTCACATACTTAAGTACATACAGTTGAACCATAAAAATTTCAAACCTCCCCATAACACCATACCTCGCTGGTTTTAACTTTATTTTCAATTCCATTTCTGAATTTCATAAGAAACAATGCACCAAAAAGCCTCCATAACTCCAAGGTTTTCCTACTCAAACCTTAATAACTCAGATTTTCTGGAGGCCTCTTGGCTATTATTTTATTGGCACAGGAAAGAGAAGAGCAATAAAAATGTGACTTGTGTTATCTTGATTTTTCTTAAGACTTTAAAATCTACTAATTAGAGTTTTTAGCATTTTTGCGTATTTCTCCCAGGAGGGAGAGTTTACTCAAACCAGAAGAGAATACTCTAAGTTTTTCATCTGATATTAAACTTTATTTTAATGCTGGAAAAACCACACAAGTGCTCTACCAGAACAGAGCAAGTCAGGCACTTACATACCACAAGAAAACACAAAGGAACAAAGGCACAGTGTAAACCAGGCATGGATCAATTAGGGCAGGGATATGCCACCATAGCTTGGGCATGGTGCAATATTCTGTAAGTTCAAGCTTAGTGAACTGAGAATTTCAGACAGTCTGGAATTCAGGTCAGACTGACAGTGGAAAACATTTGCAGTTGTCAACAATAAAATGAGGGCAGAAAGTCATGGGGCAATTACCTTTCTGCCAGAGAAGATACACAGTGCAATGGTGTCATTTACCACATTGTTCTTTATGGGGTTTTACTTATTATTATGGTTGCACTTGTGTCTTGAAAGGAAGTGAGATTAATTTGACAAATGAATCCTTGTCTCAAAGTTCAGCTTCCTGTCAACTCATTCAATACACAATGCACAGAATCTCACCATTTAAAATTTCCTGCAATTACTTTTTTCCTTGACACAAAGACCTGCTTCCATAATTCAAAACCTCCCTAGCTAGAATTACTGTATTTCTGGTCCCTTGAAGTTTGACTTATGGTTTGAATAAGAGCCTAGATAACAGTTCAAATTTCAATGTTTCTTAATTGTCAATCGCAATATTTATCCTATTCAACAAAATTTGTGCCTTTAATTTCTTCTAAGAAGGAAACTAGAATCCAAAACATTAATATATGCAGAGGTCAACTTTGAAGAACATGCATGTCTAACCAAATGATTTTGACTTCATTATCAAGATGCAGTTTTTGTTCTCAGGGGTCTTTTTTGGTGGACTTGTCTTGGTCAAATCATGCAACCCAATGGAATGAAAATAAATCATCACATGCAATGCTTCACATAAGCCAAAGTGTATATGAAGCTTCCAAGCTATGATGAAAAGTATGATTTTCAGAATTTGAATTAGCAAAGCAACAAAATACAATACAGTACTCTGAAAATATGGAGGATATTCTGGAGCAAGAAATGACAAGTTGGTTGTTTTATATTTTCAGCTAAACAAGAAGTCAATTCTTTGGTTATAGTGCCTGAGATGGTGCTGGCTCTGATGGGGTCCCTCCACATGTAGGGAAAGAGGGGAGGGATGTGATCAAGTTTAGGAAGGAAGTGGCTGGCCAAAATTGCCACCACCATTGTTTTTTTCTTCCCTGTTTTTTGCTGAGGTCCTTATGGCATATTTTTTACAGCTGGCAACACTGGGAAAATTGGTGGGCCTGTGTGCTTTGCTGATGCAATCTCCATGTCTGCAAATTTTGTTTTTTTGGGAGTAGTTTTTCTTTTCTTTTTTGTTTCATTAAAAGTGGAAATTCTGCTTTATTTTACCTCCAAGTAGGAGATATTTTGTTGTCCTATTTTTGGCCATTCTTGTGTTGAAGTTTTCATGTTTCCTGATTTAAGTGATATACATTGGGTCTTGAATTGGATGCCAAGTGGAAGGTTCTCTTGCTGTGAATTTTTTGTTGCCTTTAATGCCCTGCTGGGTGCTGCTCTAAATTGTTTATAGCATTAACATCAAAGTGTTCTCTTACTCTAGACTTCCAGAAAGTTTGGAAGTACTGTATACAAATCTGCAATAGATGAGCTTTAGAATTTTGAAACATGGGAAATTAAATGCAAAAAATGTTGCATTCAATGTCAGACTTTTTTTTTTTTTACATTTAAATCCCACCTTCTCTTGATACCAATGCAAAAAATATCACGCCAGTATTGTTTATAAACTCTCTCTGGGGCATATGAGAAACCATTTTGTACCTGATGGATTCAACTGTCACTTTTGGGCGGCGGTAGGGATTTTATGCTGCTTGTGGGTTGTCTAAGTTTACCAGATTCATTGCTCCCACAAGGAGTTCCAAAGGGTTGAGGTAAGTACTATACCATACTCAATTGAGTACCACACGCACGCCTTTTCTTCCAATATTTTTTGAAGCAAAACAATGAGGTGCGCATTTTTGTCAGGGTATAAAATCTTCTGTGAAAATTTTTAAAATGTGAAACTTTTCTCTCCATTTCTCCCTCTTAAAAATGCTTTTCAGAGTTCTCTATTTTAATGATAATATCATCTGTATAACGCAAACAATTTGCATTTAATTCGAATTGTACGTTGGATTCAATTTAAAATGTTCCCAACACAGTTTTACAGAGAGGAATATTGGTGACTGAAAACTACAACCGGTGTGCGCCTTATTATGTGAGGATAAGATTTCTTCCCACAATTTAACCTTCAAGTCGAAGATGCGTGTCTTACCTAATGAGTGTGTGTTGGTACTCAATTAGGATTAGATACCGTATTTTTGGAGTTGGAATGATTGAATTCTTTCCCTGATTTTTTTCTGCTTCAAATCTGATTCGTATTAGGTCAGCGCTGAGGAATGAAAAACTTTACTTAATCGCCGACAGCAGTTTAAAAATAAAAAGGAAGGCTGCAGAATCTCTCTTGAACCCCTTTTCTAGATCATGCGTCATTCTAGACAGGAGAGAAGTTCATGAGCTCTTTGGACCATTAGCCTCAGGTATGCATCAGCCCCATTACCCGAGTACCTATGAAGTTTATGAGGCACACTTTTTTTCAGCAGATGGCTGCCCTGTATGAAGCTCCTGGTCTTCAGGGCTCACCTATTTAAATGTTCGATATCAACCTGGAAAAAAAAAGAAGGAACTTCGAGCTCCTTTGCGGGTTGGAATTCCATCGGGTCAGCCCACGGGCCGTATGTTCCTTCCTGTGGTGATGTTCAGGTTCTTCCTTTTTTTATTCATGTAAGTAGGGCCAATAACTTTTCTCTTCAAGTTGACTCAAAGTTACTGCAGTTTTCGAAAAATGTTAAAATAAAATATAACCGCCTGAGAGGCTATTGGGATTTTTAAAATTTGCTCATCTTTCAATAAAAGCGGATTTTATTGGTAAGGACGAGCTGAATTTGGACAAAAAAGCTAACCGTGTATGTCAGTTTCTGCCTTCGGACTATGCCCATCCAATACAAAACGTTTCATCTTGGCATCATTTAAAAAGATTTCAGAACTAGCAATTTGTGAGGGATAATGCAATAGTTCAGTGCTTGGTGTCACAATGAAACCAGGCTACAAACATTCAACATACAGGTGGATTCTTTCTACAAAAATCTTATCTACTAAATTTTTCATCTGTTTAATTTGTTTTCATCCAATAGGGTTCTCTCTGTATTTTAAAAGGGTTCTCTACAACCAAATTCTCTCTATAAAATTTTTTCTGGTCCCTTGAATTTGTATGTTGAGACTAGAGAAAGAGAGAGGAGAGAGAGAGAGTCCACCTGCATTGTCTCATAAGGTTCCATTTTCTTCTTCTGCCTTTTCATTGAAGGTTTGGTAAATCAATGCTTTTCTTCTTCTTTAGATTTCCTGAACATGAAAGAATAGCAACTGGCAAATTCTAACTTGAACCAAGTTTCTCCTGAGTCCTGACTGACATCACTTACATTGAAGGAAGTCAAAAAACTTTGCAATTTGCTCTTTGGTTTCAGTTGTTGTAGGTACCGTATTTACTCAAGTACCACACACACCTTTTTTCCCAAATTTCAGAAAAAAAAGAGGTGCGCGTCATAAGTGGGTACAACATTTTCAAGAAGTTTTAGGAAGTTATGTGTGTATTACAATTTTTTATAATGGAGAAAATTGGAAAAAATGTAAGAAGAAAACATTTTTGTACTGAAAAAGTTGGAAATTGATCAGATTTTTGTTTAATTCACACCCAAAGTCAAATTTTTTGTTCTTATTTTTGAAATTTTATGGTTTCAGATTCACTGAAAATTGGAGTGCATGTCTTATTCAGGGATAAGAGTTTTGCAAAAATTTCAACTGAAAAACCCCTGTGCACGCCTTACTTGAGGGCGTGTGGTACTTGAGTAAATACAGTATTAAGTCCTTTAAGGATACCTGAATGCCTAAAACCTAAAGGTAAAAGCAAGACATGCTGATTCTGAATTTTTGACTGCACAGGAAATGAAAAATTTGTTCCTTTTGGCAAAGTGTTGGACTAAATTTTTAAAAACTTTGTTAAAAAATTACACCATCATTCAAGCTCACCCATTAATTCCTAGCAAATGGTAAAGCTGATGCAAATGTTCAAGTTATTCTCCGTCACGCTCACTTCAATATTCTCAGCAAAAGGATTTTGATGAAAGTAGAGTGTTTTCTATGAAATGGCTTTGAGCGGCCAGCAGGGAAGAAGCAGGAAGTAAAGGATTGTGGATTAAAAGCTTAAATCCGCCCCCCCCCCCCAAATGCTTCTTGAAAATCTTATGCAGAGCATCTAAAGCCTTCCAATTTTTCAACATGATTGCACAAGCCCCCATTCATGGGATTTCATTGATTGAATATTCATGTTCTACCATATTCTTACTGATATCCACCATGTGTTTTTTTTCACACATTTTTTACGGGTGGTACCTCGCAATTTGACCCTCATAAGTTGCCAAACTATAGCATCAAATTGCAAAGCAGTCAAATTGCGAGACACTTTGTTGAATTAAAAAATATCAGTACAAAAACGCAGAAAAATTAGCCAAAGCAGGTGAAATTGTGGGGCAAGGGTCAAATTGCAAATCAACCTCCCTGCAAATTTGACTGTCAAATTTTGGGACAGTCAAATTGCTAGAGGTCAAATTGTGAGGTACCACCTGTACATGAATTGTTGATGCAATTTTTATTCTTAGCCTTAAATTTAGCTCATCTAAAAAAAAAATTGTCTTCAGTTTATCACGGGTCTAACGTAAAATTTCGAATTACAGATATCGAAAATCTTTTACTGCACTTCTGGTCTCCACCGAAATAATGGAAGACCGCGGCATAGAAGGAAGGGTTCGCTTTTCCCCATTGCTAAATATCAAGTACGATCACTCGAAAAAGCTGCAAAGAAAGGTGAACAAAATGTATTTAAAAAATATTGCGACGACTTGATCTGGCGATGACGAAAAACATTTTGCGACCCGAAAAGGGCAACAATAGGCGGCGATTTGTTTCGCTTTCACTCTTGCGGGCTTCTCAATCTTTTTCTTTTCTATTTTTCTTCCCCGAACCCTCTTTGTCTTCACGCTGTGGCGAACCTTCTGTTGTTGATTCATCTTGTAAAATGAAGGAGGGGGGGGGGGGAGAAATGAAAAAATATATAAAGTATAACTGTATAATACAATATATGAAAGATAAATGCTTCGTTATTGTTCGGTGTTGTGTTTGGTGTGTTGAGTGATGTGTGCTCAGCACATGTCATGATTGCTGACTTCGAAAAATAAAAATAGAAAAAAAATAAGGGGGAAGAAAATGCGCGCGAAGGTGAAGCGCGAAAATTACTTCCTTGTTGCAACGGGACGGACTTCTTCGTGATCCGTGTTTCTTCTTCCGGTTTAGCGAATCCTGGTTATGTCTTCCGCTTTTTCATCCTCTTCACCTCCATTGGTTCACTGAAAAAGAGAGAGAGAGAACCTTTCGCAATCCTCTGCTCCACGGCATCAAAGAAAATTATCGGTTTATACAAGAGTCCCGTTATGAGGAAGAGATTTGCTCCCTATCTTCTCTCTTACCTTCACAGATTATTTTTTTTGATGGGGAATCCTTGTCCTTCTTCTGTATTATATATAGCCAAAAAAATGAACCCTCTTCCCCCCCCCCCCTTGAAGGATATTTTCAATCATTTCCTTTTTTTGTTGCGATTAAAATTATATTCTAGAAAGACTTAGTCCCGCTGATGGTTATAGGATGGCAGGAAATTTATTTTGGAGCTGGTGTTTGAAAATCATCCTCTATTTCAATTGACTGAAACAAAAATTCATTGGAAACAAGTGGATCAGTAAAGGATTCTGGAAGTCATGAAATGTCTTTGCAGAAGAACAATGTCACAATATACTATAAATTGTTTAACTAAAGTATTGTTGAACATTAGAATAGGGATGACAAAGTTTTATAGACAGATTAGACTGGCGCCATCAAAACTTTAACAATTTGAATACATCCAGAATCCCGTGATGAGACTGAGTTTGACCTCAAGTTTCCACAAGAGTCTAAATTCTTGGGGAAATCCTGTTGAAAGGTTAAGTCCACTCAGGGACAAAAATTTGCAAAATTAAAGGGGATTGAATACCAGATAGATTTTCTGTTTCATCACCAGTTGTTCTGGGCTTGTCTTACTCAAAAGACTGCTGGTCAATCTGCTGTTTGACAAATTCTTGAGCTGTCCAAAATATACCAACCTAAAAGTAGGTTGTAAAGCACCCCGGCTGCAACTACCCGGATGATTGTCAGTTGAATTTATTTCAATTCAGAAAGGTTTTAAACCTTCTTCAAATCCATTCCTAACAAGTATTTTACAATTTGAAAAATTTGTTTTTGAATTCTGTGAGAGATTTGCACTAAACTGAACCTAGAATGGATTCACGCCAGCTTTTTGCACAAAAAATTGAACCAAAAAGATGCAATGCGCATCATAAAGTTGGGCCACTTTGACTTATGAACATTGGAAAGTCGAAAATTGTTTGCTGACATATATGGGATGTGTCTATATCGACAACACTTTACAGAATTTTCAGAAAATTGAGAAAATTTTATTTAAATATATTGTCAATTAATTTAGCTATTTTTGTGGACAACAATTTCAAGATATTTCTTACCTTAAAGGTACATTCATTCATTTTATTTAAAACAGGCTTATGATATGCATATTTTTTTTAGTGTTTTTCATCAACTATGCTTAGACTGTAGCCATTTGTGCACTGATGTTTCACTTTTTAGCCTTCTTTTCATGCCAAAACGGCAGCCTTCTGTGCAGTACTTTCTGCGATTTCACAGTTGTTTTTCTTTTTTGCAAAGGAGGAGACTTGATTTGGATACTTTCCCATCGGAGTCGACAGAAAAATGTGATCTGACATGTGGACATTATTCCAACATATGGACACAGTCCAAGCACTAATTATACCCATATCTCAAGGCACAACTGTCCTCGTATGCAAACTTTTTCTGCAAATTTTACAAAAAAGACTTAGTCCCGCTGATGGTTATAGGATGGCAGGAAATTTATTTTGGAGCTGGTGTTTGAAAATCATCCTCTATTTCAATTGACTGAAACAAAAATTCATTGGAAACAAGTGGATCAGTAAAGGATCCTGGAAGTCATGAAATGTCTTTGCAGAATAACAATGTCACAATATACTATAAATTGTTTAAATAAAGTATTGTTGAACATTAGAATAGGGATGACAAAGTTTTATAGACAGATTAGACTGGTGCCATCAAAACTTCAACAATTTGAATACATCCGGAATCCCGTGAGACTGAGTTTGACCTCAATTTCCCACAAGAGTCTAAATTCTTGGGTAAATCCTGTTGAAAAGATAAGTCCACTCAGGGACAAAAATTTGAAAAATTAAAGGGGATTGAATACCAGATAGATTTTCTGTTTCATCATCAGTTGTTCTGGGCTTGTCTTACTCAAAAGACTGCTGGTCAATCTGCTGTTTGACAAATTCTTGAGCTGTCCAAAATATACCAACCTAAAAGTAGGTTGTAAAGCACCCCGGCCGCAACAAAAAATTATTAAAAAATAATTTTTGAATTCTGTGAGAGACTTGCACCAAACTGAACCTAGAATGGATTCACGCCAGCTTTTTGCACAAAAAATTGGACCAAAAAGATGCAATGCGTATCATAACTTTGGCCACTTTGACTTATGAACATTGGAAAGTCGAAAATTCTTTGCTGACATATATAAGATGTGTCTATATCGACAACACTTTACCGAATTTTCAGAAAATTGGGAAAATTTTATTTAAATATACTGTCAATGAATTTAGCTATTTTTGTGGACAACAATTTCAAGATATTCTTTACCTTAGAGGAACTTTCATTCATAATTTAAAACAGGCTAATGATATGCATTTTGTTTTTAGTATTTTTTCATCAACTATGCATAGACTGTAGCCATTTGTGCACTGATGTTTCACTTTTTAGCCTTCTTTTCATGCCAAAAAGACAGCCTTCTGTGCCGTACTTTCTGCGATTTTACGCTTGTTTATTTTTTTGTGCAAAGCAGGAGACTTGATTTGGATTCTTTCCCATCGGAGTCTACAGAAAAATGTGATCTGACATGTGGACATTATTCCAACATATGGACACAGTCCAAGCACTAATTATACCCATATCTCAAGGCACAACTGTCCTCGTATGCAAACTTTTTCTGCAAATTTTACAAAATCCTTGTTTTCATTATCCTTGAATTACTTCGCGGAAAAAAAGAAGAAACATCAATGCAATCAAATTGTTCAGATATCCGAGAATAAATTTATAAATTCAGCTGTTGCACTTACCAAATTTTGAAAATTTTGCACTGCTGAAAACTGAGATGCATGTCTTATAAGCAGGAATAAGATTTTTGCCGCATTTTTCCGCTTAAAAAAATTAAGGTGCGTTTTATATTCAAGGGTGCAGGTGCTCAAGTAAATACACTGGTTTTTTTCATACAACTGGCAGGTCTTTTGATGCGCCCAATTTTTTTTTTCAATTTAATATTCACTGGAAAAGATGTCAAAGCATCCAAAAATAAATAAATGTACCTATATATATAGTTTTTTTTACACATCCCACAGCTCTATCGACGTCGAGTGCTCATTCAATTCCATTCGAAACAGACATAGGCAGAAATTATTATTCTCCAAAGGCCCTTGAAGATGTAACCACGTAATTTCCTGACGAAGTCTCAACGCTCAAGTATGAGAACAAAATTGCTTCCGCGGCAGCACCACAAGGCAATGGGTTGCACGGGTATCCAAAAAATACAAATAAAAACGCGCCACAGTACTCCATTCTTGCGAATAAAAACGAACCCCATACCACGAAACCACTCCTGGGGTCAATGTTGGGTCATGATTGATGAAAGGAAATATCCCCAGCACCCAAATAAGCACGGAAGCGTTTGCTTCCCGCGTGGTTTCCGCATGCGTGTCATAACGACGACCAGAACTCCTCTTTTTCATTAAAAAAAATAAAAAATAAAGACCATCCACTTCATCTAAAAAAAATTTAAATTTTCCATATTTTTGCCAGAGATTTCCTGATGGCCTAATGATTATTAGCAGAATTTGGCGCGATAATCGACGGACTTCGCACCGCCGACGAAAGGGAAATATATTCATCAGTAGAAATATATTAAATTCGCAGCGCCCTTGGAGTAATGCAAGCGAAGAACTGGGCGCCATATTTTCCACTAGGTTATTCAAAAGAAATATGTCTTCTTCTTTTTCAGAAGGTTATATTATTTTTTTGTGCCCCAAAAAGTACCTTGAAAACTGGTTCAGAAAAGGGGAAAAATTGTTTTTGACGCGTGACCTCAAATACCCGCTATTACTTCGTTCAATCCTGTACGCTTGCTTTTTCTTTTTCTTTCGTGAGATGCAAAACAAAGCGGACTAGAAATTGTCAAGGATATATAGCAAATAGAATGAAGGATTGCGAAAAATAAAAAATCAGCGGAATGATTTGTGTAATAAATGATGAGACGTTGCAGCGGGATTTCTAACTTTCGAGGCCACTCGTCATGCGCAATGTAACACTTGAATATAGAGAATCAATTTCAAGGAATTATGCAAATGACGCAGATTTTTTGTGTGTGTCAAGTATGGAAACGTATAGTTCGCTGTTTTAAGAGCCAGGAACATTCATCTAACTTGTGTTTACATGTTGAAAAGCATCAAATTTTTAGCATTCAGTGGAAGAAGCTGCTGAAGAAAATTGAATGAGAATTTTGCACAATCTGCAGAAATTCCCTCCCCCCCCCGTTTTAATGGATTATTTTCCTTCAGATATTTCTGTTCAATGTTTTGAAGGGTTTTGCGTTGTATGGTTCATGAGAAATTTCTCTGTGATCTCATCAGTCAAAATTCTATTGTTCTCTTCAGAAGATTGAAGAAATTAATTATGCTCTTCCTGAAATTCTCCAGTTTTATATGTTGCTGTTGAAGCTTTTACTTTATTATGAATGAGAAAAGAAGAAAGTGTCAATTATCATTTATTCAGATTTTTCCGTGCATGTGAAAGTGCTTTGAATGTTTTATTAGTNGGAAAAGATGTCAAAGCATCCAAAAATAAATAAATGTACCTATATATATAGTTTTTTTTACACATCCCACAGCTCTATCGACGTCGAGTGCTCATTCAATTCCATTCGAAACAGACATAGGCAGAAACTATTATTCTCCAAAGGCCCTTGAAGATGTAACCACGTAATTTCCTGACGAAGTCTCAACGCTCAAGTATGAGAACAAAATTGCTTCCGCGGCAGCACCACAAGGCAATGCGTTGCACGGGTATCCAAAAGAAACAAAAACGCGCCACAGTACAGTACTCCATTCTTGCGAATAAAAACGAACCCCATACCACGAAACCACTCCTGGGGTCAATGTTGGGTCATGATTGATGAAAGGAAATATCCTCAGCACCCAAATAAGCACGGAAGCGTTTGCTTCCCGCGTGGTTTCCGCATGCGTGTCATATAACGACGACCAAAACTCCTCTTTTTCATTTAAAAAGAAAAAAAATAAAGACCATCCACTTCATCTAAAAAAATTTTTAAATTTTCGATATTTTTGCCAGAGATTTCCTGATGGCTTAATGATTATCAGCAGAATTTGGCGAAATAATCGACGGACTTCGCACCGCCGGCGAAAGGGAAATATATTCATCAGTAGAAATATATTAAATTCGCAGCGCCCTTGGAGTAATGTAAGCGAAGAACTGGGTGCCATATTTTCCACTAGGTTATTCAAAAGAAATATGTCTTCTTCTTTTTCAGAAGGTTATATTTTTTTTTTGTGCCCCAAAAAGTACCTTGAAAACTGGTTCAGAAAAGGGGAAAAATTGTTTTGACGCGTGACCTCAAATACCGCGATAATGAAGCAAGTTAGGACATGCGAACGAAAAAGAAAAAGAAAGCACTCTACGTTTTGTTTCGCCTGATCTTTAACAGTTCCTATATATCGTTTATCTTACTTCCTAACGCTTTTTATTTTTTACAGCGGAATGATTTGTGTAATAAATGATGAGACGTTGCAGCGGGATTTCTAACTTTCGAGGCCACTCGTCATGCGCAATGTAACACTTGAATATAGAGAATCAATTTCAAGGAATTATGCAAATGACGCAGATTTTTTGTGTGTGTCAAGTATGGAAACGTATAGTTCGCTGTTTTAAGTGCCAGGAACATTCATCTAACTTATGTTTACATGTTGAAAAGCATCAAATTTTTAGCATTCCGTGGAAGAAGCTGCTGAAGAAAATTGAATGAGAATTTTGCACAATCTGCAGAAATTCCCTCCCCCCCCCCGTTTTAATGGATTATTTTCCTTCAGATATTTCTGTTCAATGTTTTGAAGGGTTTTGCGTTGTATGGTTCATGAGAAATTTCTCTGTGATCTCATCAGTCAAAATTCTATTGTTCTCTTCAGAAGATTGAAGAAATTAATTATGCTCTTCCTGAAATTCTCCAGTTTTATATGTTGCTGTTGAAGCTTTTACTTTATTATGAATGAGAAGAGAAGAAAGTGTCAATTATCATTTATTCAGATTTTTCCGTGCATGTGAAAGTGCTTTGAATGTTTTATTAGTGTGAAATTCAAAGTTTGCATTTGAAGTAAACTTGAGATAATTTTAACTGATCTGTCCGTAAAATTTCTTGGATTTGCTTTTATTGCACCGAAAAATTGCCAACACAAAATTTTGTAACGTGATGAATATTAAGGAATTAAAAAAAATCAATATTTTCTGTTTTTCGTCAGTTTTCATGATTTTCGTTATACCTTCTGAATTGTCCTCTTGATGATCAAAGTTAATTTGGAGCCGGAAAGCAGCTGAATTAAATTCAATTTCGGTGGAAGAAGTGTTTCATATTTCTGAAACCCGAAATAGCTTGACAATTTTGAACTTTTTATCTTTTTAGGCAGCAGTCCCCATTTTTCTGAGAAGTAGAATTTCATTTTGTGGAGCATTTTGCGGCTTTCCACTGTCATGACAAAATGCAATAAAATCCTGGACCTATCAGAACTACATGAATCAAAGTTGGAAAGGTTTGACAAGACGCTTTAACATCAGGGATTTTTGTGACACGCCAAATAAAGATCTTGTGCGACTCGGATGCTTTTTATTCTTTCCGTTTCAACGGAGCCCCGCTCGTCGAACGATGGCTTCTGATTTATGTGGCCATTTCGGATCTGCTATTTTATCGCTGGTTCTTTGACATGGATTGTAGAGAAAAAAAGAAGAAGAAGAAGGAAAAAAACTGTATCTTTAATGTTGGTTACATTCTCCCAGTGAGAGTGCTCTGCTGCATTTTTGCCGGAGAAATGTTACGGAGAGAGAGTCTGTGTTTGGAATCCTTGATGATATCCAAGGTGAAGGGATGAGTAAAGCTTGTTTTTTTTTTCTTCGTTTTCTAAACGATTGTATATATATGAAACGGCACTTCGATGAAAGGAAAAGTTTTTCCCCAATATTTTAAAGCTGTGGTACGCAGCTTGGACTTCAAAGCTTTTCTCCTGGAAAATTCGAAACTTCCTTCTATAGAATATAAAGTTTTAGCTGGCTGACTTGAGATTCCACAGAATAAAGCGAGATAAAATCGTCCGATTACTTTTTAGCTTCGCGCAGTTACATTTGAAGAACTAAAAAAAAAACTAGATCTGTACGAATCATGACGAATTTAAGAACCGGAATTCAAAAAGGCTATTGAAAAAAAAAGTAAAGGACAGAGAACAAAATATTGGAAAACCAGAACTGAGGCGCAAATCTTGTGCCCCAATTTTTTTTTACGTGGGTGTGGGTTAAACAGCTTTGGTTTCGACACGAAAATGATGACAATTTCGCGAAAAAGTAATGCTCTTGGTTCCAAACCAAGGACAAATTACAATAAATTGTAGGTGATCCGAATCCAAGAAAAAAAAGTCTTTCAATTTTTAAATTTCCCATAATGGCAACTTTGGAAGCCATCGTAAATAAAAAAAATGTCAAGTGTCCTTGGTGAGCGTCAAGTGCAAAATTACGTTTGCGCAATTGTTGTTGCACTTTTTCCTCACAGCAAAAAAAAAGATTTTTTCTAAATGATAAACTTATTAAATCGCAAACCTTTCGGATTTTGACTGTGCCCCATATTGACATGGAGGAGTCCGTACAAGAAAAATATTGAATATTCAAAATAACTTCAAGGCACGTAACTGCAGAAACTTTCGAAACATTCATCGAGCATGAAGAAAAATATTGTACATCGTCCTTGACTCAAAAAAGAAAAACTAGAACTTCTGTTTTATATGTAAAGTGGAAATACTTTTCCGAATTCAAATCGCATGACGAGCTCAGCTTATTGATCATTGCACAATACTCACGATAATCCGAACGGCGATGAACATTTTGATTTGCATAATCTTACAGTCCAAAATATTCCCCATCACGGCATTCATTTGAAAGAAGTACCGGAATTATTTTTTTTATAGGAAAGAGGAATGATTTTCGCAATATCGGGAAAGGAATTCTTTAAATTTCTCGGACAATCGCAATGCGCAGGAAAAATTTTGCTCATTCGCAAAGTTTTGCTGTTATTCTTCTGCCCTGAATTTCTCCCGCGTTCTCTTCATTTTATTTCAGATTTTGTCCATTTGTGACGGGCATGATGACAACAAAGTACAATTTTTTTTATCAAACGATGCTGTATTTCGTTGCTTCATAAAATAATAATCAAACACGCCATCAGTTTGCACTCAACAGAATGAAGTCTGGAATTTTGAGAAGATTGGGGCCGTTTTAGACTAGCCCAAGATATATTTTTATTTTTGGTTTCACGCTTCATTTTGATACATTTTTACCCGTTTCTGAAACCGACAGCCCTTCGTGTTTCGCAAATGAAGGGTTTCTGATGAGAACATCCGACGTCGTGCCAAACAATGCCGTCTTGGTAGAAATTGTTCAAAACCGCCATGCAAACTTCGTTTCCTTCACGATTGTCTGGTTGTGGGCGTCCGCCGCCGCCCGTGCGAGACCAGGCCGCTGATTTCAAAACAAAAATTTTGAAAAAAAATGAGAATTTTACAGGAAATTAAGCTCAAAATATAAAAAACGCGAAATGATAGCAGGACTCTCCAACAGAGGGTCCGCACAAAAATTGCGCTTCAGCCAAACGGCTGCTGATCTGAGGGGAAAAACTATCCTGGGTCTGGTCGAAAGTTCAATAAAATCTAAATATGACGATCGAAGATTAATTTGTTCAGGTTTAATAAAATTAAACACCTGAAACTTGAATGTCCCTTATTATTTCTCTTTTCTGAAATTTGATGCTTCGTCGGTTTAAAAAAAAAACTCGAGAGAAAAGTCTGTTGCCCTCAATGAAAAACGATCATGCGTCTAATCGAAATTAAAAAAGTTGTCCGCGTTTCACAAAAAATTACAAACGAAAATCAAATCTCACTTCTTCATCATTGACTTTGATACGCTGATCGTTTGAAACAAAAATAAGGACTTCGTAATAAATAATTTTACAAGTTTACAATAAGAACCATCACATGTCTATCAGTAGGCGAAAATTTGTTTTCCTGACGTTCAAAAAAACTTTGAGGGAATGAAATAAAAAGTAAACATTTCGCACTTGTAAAAGAAATTATGATGGATCATTCTGTAAAACACAAAATTTTGCGGGACTGGAACAAAAGGTTCTTTTTTCATCTCTTTTTTACAACCTTTCAGAAAATACAATTGAAATTTTCTTCAGAAAAGTTTCAAGTCGCCCGAATAACGAAAAATAACGGAAAAGAGACAAACATAAAAGAAACTGTTCATCAACGAGGATAATCTTCCAAGGAAATTCTCGGCCAACTTTTCCTTTCGAATTGTGCACTTTTCAAATGCGTGTGCTTATCATTCACATGTAAATACTGTAAACTTGTAAAGGAATAAGAATGTTACGTCATTCGCAAGAAACTCAACGCTGTATTAAATATTCTTTTCTCTAATTTGTTAGCTTGAAAAGTTTTCGAAGATTAAAAATTGTCGTGGACATTTTGTTGTTGTTGCTCATCAGCATATGCCATGAGAAAATGTGCGTTAGTGTCTTTTCCGGGTCGTTCGTGTGGGTCGTGAAATCGTTTTTTTTTCTGCCTTCAAAACCAGCTGAGACGACCATGAATTTTTATACTTTTTAATGCAGCAGTAAAAAATAAGAATGCGCAAGTCCCGCTTTGTTGATCATTTCAAGGTCGGTTTCGTGGAATACTGTATTCTCTCAGCAATGAAGCTGGCTCATTTCTATGTACAGCACACGATTTGCATTTTGTTTTCAAGGGTTGATAAGCTTTAATTGTTTTTGTTTTCATTATAAATTCTCATCTGAAACAGACTCGCCTTAGTGAGGTTTTTTTTTTTTTCGCCAAGGGCTCGACTGTTTTCCGGGTTAAATGGCCTCAACTGGTAAAATAAAATAAGCAGCGGGATTCAATAAGAAATTGAATCTATTGAAAAATTAAACACCACAACACCGGCCTTCGAGTTCAAGCATGGATTTAAATAAATAATATCGAGGAATATTTTACAGGATTATCTGATACTGTGCGGAATTAATGAAGAAAGTTTTCGGTTTTTTTTTCTTGCACATGTTTAATTACATATGTTTACGGATTATTGAGAAGACAGAATCCCCTCATTAGCCTCCAAATACTATTTCCGCTCTATTACTTTGGTTCCCTGAAAATAATGAAATTACTGCACATTACTTTATGCCATGCCAGCACGAGCTTCCCCGTATCCGGATCATCAATTGGGTAATGAAAACCTTTTATAGACCCTTTCTACAGATACAAGCGAGGAAAATAACGCATTGTAACAATACATGACGTATATACGAGCAATTGTGAAAAAAAATGGGGATAGGTAATTAAGACTACAATTGTCGGCAACCCCGAGCCGTTATGTCGATAGACCTGTATACGATTTTTTTATTTTTATTGTCACGTCTGTATAATATTTTTCAAAAACATTTTTTTTCGAGTGCATCAGGTCATGGCAGTTTTTCAGAGAATGCTTCGGATACGAGCCCCGCATAAAAAAAAATGAACCAGGTATTAAGAAATAATAAGTTGAGTTCTATAGTCTCAACCTTTTAAATCCTTCAACTCATATTTTAATTCCTTCACAGGTGCTACAATCTTAAATTCCCCACAAAACATGACTTTTCAGCCCCAAATCCTTCATCAAAGAATACAAATTTGAATTTCCTGAATTTTTAATCATTAAAAAATAATTTGATGCCCTAGTAATAAGCTCTTCAACGTACAGTATTTTGAGAAAGAAAAAAAACTATTAAATAAAAAAAGCAATCCACTTTTCGGGAAAGATTCATCTATACGGAAATGCGGTTTCTCGGAAACCTGACGGGATGTCGATCTGGTGAAGCGTGCAAGACATGATGAATATTTCATTATCCCCTTCGCATAATCATTCCGGCCACTATGGCCAATCAATTCAGGATACCTGGATCCAAATATACTTGTTAATCTATTTTAAAAAATCTAACCTTGGTTTCTTGGCGGGAACCGAACCCCGGAACCCGACCACACCCATCCGTTGCCCTGTCGGCGACCAGACGTCCAGATGAACTGCACTCGCTCTGTCAAACAAAATTCCAGAAAACTGAGGATTAAATTGGAAAGTAAC